TATATATATATATATATATATATATATATATATATATATATATATATATTTCAACTCCCTGCTATTTTGCAAGTTCTCCCACCTAGAAATCCTTCAATTATCATCATAGGTGCATGTCCACTGTGAGACATAATCTAAAGATAAAATCCAGATAATAAAATATATTATTTTTAAACTATTTATTTGTATGATGCATCTGCAGGTAAGTATTTAAACCCCTGTCTATCAGCTAGAATTCTGACCCTCAAAGCCCTGTTAGTCTGCCTTCAAAATGTCCTCCTCCACTCTATTTGTTATCCTAAACTAGATGCATCTGTTTGAGGTCGTTAGCTGCATAAAGACACCTGTCCACCTCATACAATCAGTAAGAATCCAACTATTAACATGGCCAAGACCAAATAGCTGTCCAAAGACATTAGAGACAAAACTCTACACATCGCTGGAAAATGCTGGAAAAGCCCACAGGGAAATTGCCAAGCAGCTTGGTGGAAAAAGTTCCGCTGTTATAGCAATTATTAGAAAATGTAAGAATCTAAACATGACTGTCAATCTCCCTTGGACTGGGGCTCCATGCAAGATCCCACCACGTAGGGTCTCAATGATCCTAGTAAAGGTCAGAAATCAGCCCAAAACTATGCGGCAGGAGCTGGTCAATGACCTGAAAAGTACTCGGACCACCGTTTCCAAGGTTACTGTTGGTAATACACTAAGACGTCATGGTTTTGAAATCAAAATTTTGAAATTGCATGGCACCCGAGGTTCCCCTGCTTAAACCAGCACATTTCAAGGACAGTTTTAAGTTTGCCAATGACCATTTGGATGATCCAGAGGAGTCATAGGAGAAAGTCATGTGGTCAGACGAGACCAAATTAGAACTTATCATAATTCCAAAAACTGTGTTTGGAGGAAGAAGAATGAGTACATCCCAAGAATACTACCCCTACTATGACGCATGGGGGTGGTAGCATCATGCTTTGGGGATGTTTTTCTGCACATGGGACAGGGTGACACCTAAAACATTGTACAAACAAGGAGAGAAAGGCACAGAGTCAGAATTATTTTTACTCGCGAGGAGAGTAGGAAGAAACCGTACAGTTACAATCTCCAACCCACTCTGCCGGTCTCAGCTTTCTCCCCGCTATTTATTAAAGTCCGGGGGTCCCTAGTTACACAAGCTGAGGCTGCACTAAAGGAAAGGGGAACAAAATTACCAGGCTTGCAGCCTCAGCGCATATGTCAAAACAAAGCATGTGATTGATTTGCAGTTAAGTATGTTCCGATAATAGATGTTTCGAGAGCGACTTGTTTCAGCTCCGAAGAGGATGTTCAAGCATTTTTCACAACATGTCTCTTGCACGACATTTATCTGTAATGATCTTCAGCCAGAGTTAATAAGCAATGAATCACACATTATAGATCATAATCCCAAACATTAAGTATCTTATAAATTATTCCAACAACAACGTTTTCCATTCATTCACCTTCAACGCACCATCTGTTTCATACTGTCATCTTGTTTATGTACAAGATGACAATAAAGTTTGTCTAAGACAAGGCTTTAAGTGATCAAAATAAGCATTTAACTAATAACCATTAAATGGTTTTACCCTTGATTTGAATCACCTATTAATTAACTATAATTCCCAGTTCTAGTAATTTAATATATTTATAATCTTCTGGTATATACATAAATATTTTAATTAATACATGAACATCTAATACTTTGCTCAAAATCTGATTTCTGATCAGAATACTGATTAATCCAAGAATTAAAGTTAGATATTTCTACATTTACTGACAACTACAGAAAAGTGACAACTCATTTATTTTTACACTTACCAAAAAAGCTACTGATAATATATATAAAAGCATTTAAAATGAAAACAATATGAATGAGTTTTAGAACCAGCTTTAATTTCTGATCTTTAGGAAGCAGTTACAAACACAGAATTTTAAACACATTTAATCTGAAATAACTGCACTGAACAGAACAAGAATCTTAATAAAATCTATCGAACAGCAAAAGGTGCTTTGTAGGAGAAATTGAACATGGTGAAGCTTTAACTATGGTACTTGAGAAGTTCTGAACAGAGCATCTTTGAGAGCGTAAATATAGATAGATAGCTTTAGATTTATATAGCAAATTTTTGGTTTAACTAGTTATTTTAGCAAATAGCAGGTTTTAGTCTGTATACTTAATTTAGTGATCATTCTTTCGTTATAATTAAAAGATGCAAGTTAACTATTAAGGCCAACCTAATAAGTTATTACTGTCTAATCCAATCTTCAGCAAGTCATAAGGTCTAAAAGACTTTTTTAACGTGTAGCACTGAGGAAATAACTTCTGTGTGATAAACCTCAAAAGCATATATATGAGGAAAATTCATTACGTATGCAACAAAAAAGAAAAGGGAGAATCTTAACACTATTAAATAACTTGAGAAGGAGATTAAAATAAAGGAACTAAATTTGTTGAAAAAATGTTCTGATGGGAAACTACAACTCCAAGAAATACAATAATTTTACATGAAGGGATGTTTGGTGCAGAGTACATAAAATGTTTAAAGATACACAAATGGTACAAAGTTACTCATCATAACGGTACGTATAATTGTTATATCTGTATTGGGAAGGAACCTGTTAATTTGAAACAATGTAATAAAAGAGGTTGAAGCATCACATATGACCTTTTTGAAAATAGTGTTTTTTTCTGTCAAATGACAGATTTAGACAGAAACTTAATTTGTTAGGATGAGACCGTTATTAGATATATTTACAAATGAGTAGTTGTTGTGTTACCTCAATGCCAAACAACATTTCTGATAACATGTTGGTAAATATCAGTAGAATACAAAAAATTTTTCCATCAAGATTCTTGTAAAAGTCCTTAACGGGATTTAATTTTATTTAAATCTAAAACATCTTGTAAGAATAAAAATTGATATTTGAATTAATACCATTGTAGCACATTTAAAAAGAATTTTTATGTATTAATTAATTCATTGTTTTAGAAAGCATTATATACTAAAAATAACACCCCCTTTTATTCTAATATGAAATAGTTATCATTCCATAGAATACGGTAGTATAATTTCTAGCACTGATGCAGAAAATTTACGAAATAATTCATATTTTAAAAATAAAATCTAGAACAATAATTGTTTTTTGAAAGTTGAGAGTCTATAGCAACAGATAAATGTTTTTAGGGACAAAATATAAGGTAAAGATGAATTTTTCCAGCTTTTTTATCAACTGCCTAGTTGTGGAGGTAAGCAAATAATACAACCAAGACTTTTTTTATTTATAAGCAAGAAATGTCTAATTTCTACTGAATTTAAACTGTTTTTCAGAAGCTTCTTCTTTCTAGTTAGCCCATCAGGATCCTGTCAGAGATCCTCTGAGCATCTTCAGCGAGCACATCAAGGAAAAGCTTCAAAAGATTGTAGGTCGTCACAGCTGATAATGTCATTGACATTGGAATTCCAACAAATGGAATAAATCTGGACACTTCCTCTGCTACCATCAGTGCAGCCCTGCTAGAGAGTTGAAGAATCACCTTCGTTATGAGCTCTTTTGTTATTTCTTCAGCAGCCAACTGAGACTTGATGACAGCCTTCAGCTCATCATATGGTATACCTGTTCTGTCTGCAGTCCTCCTAAGAGATGGAATATCAAGCCCAAACCCAACGACATAATGGGTGACAGCACCAACCACCAAGGCCAAATCAACTGCAACAGAAAGACCTGGGAGTGGAACGGCTGCTACAACACCAGATAGAGCAGTAAGACACCATATTTGACGTTGGAAAAACTTTTTCTTCTTTTCGATGATGTCTGGAAATATGCTAGGTGAGGCTAACAGCAGAGCATCTTTCTTGTGATCAGGAAGATCTCTCTCTATGGTGTCTCGTAGGAGAGAGAAATCATACAGATGAATGTCATGGCTGGAAACCAGGAACACCTGCTGAGATTCAATTTTATGTTCCTTGAGACCTGTTTAAAAAAAAAGATCATTAAGAGCTTTTGCTATTTTATCCGTTTTCTTTTGAAAATATAAAAAACATGGATTTCACGACTCATTTAAACATGAATTAATGGAAGACACTCACTTTTAACACAATAATCTCTGATCTTTTCCAAAGTCTTCTGTTCGCTGAAGTCTTGTTTCCTTTGTTCATTTTGTAAATCAAGGTCAACTTTTGAGCGAACAAAGTAAAACTTCTTCCCCATTTTCTTGATCTCTTTAGCAAGTTTAGCATCATTTTCTGTGAAGCGACCGGCTGAGATGATGATGAAGAGATCAAACTTCTTGAATCCAACAAGCTTTAAGTATTTTGAAGCTGGAAACTTAGTGGTTCCAATTCCAGGAAGATCACTAAAGATGACATTGGGATGGTTTGGATGGGGATATTCTTTTACCTCCATGGTGGTTTCGTCAACACCAGTAGGAGCAGCATGGTCATCATTGTCATCCACTCCTCTAAAGGCATTGACAAAGGATGATTTCCCATTACCACCATCTCCAGTGACTGCTATGTTTATAGGAACTTTACTTGTCTTGTCCAAATATTCTCTGAGTTTCTCTTCTGCAGTCTCAGGGTTGTTTCTCATTGCATCTTGTATTACTTGAATCATTCCAGGATCTGCTTCAAAGTTTTCTTCCATTCTTGTCTGAAAAGAGAAAATGTGTATAATCAGAAATGTGATAATTTCAACATCAATTTAAATAACATCACATTTATTAGGATAGTGGTTTTAATAACCAACCAAAGCTTTTATCTTGGTAACGTCTTAGTTAATCATAGGATTTCCTTTCAAATAATGAATGGCTAGTACCTACCATTTTTCATTTCAGAGGACTTGACCAAAGGGCTTTACACTACATTCAGTCATTCATTGCCACAGCTGGCCTTAGGCTCATTGACAGAAGCAAGGCTGCCTTACAAAGATGCCACCGGGCCCTCTTACCACCATCATTAGGCGATTCGGGTGAAGTGTCTTACCCAAAGACACAACGACACTGAAAAGCCAGAGCCAGGGCTTAAACCAACAACTCTTCGGTTGCAGGGTAAACTACTGCTATATTAACACCATTGTCACCCCAAAATCAGACACAAATATTTAAAGAAATTGGTAAAAATCCTGTAATGCAAACAAGATTTGTGTAATACACTCTTCTTACAATAAACATTATTCATTTGGTTTCAAAGTAATTTTGATAATTAAAGATTACCAACATATGATTGTTAAGGTTACAAAAACAAGAATCCAAACAAAGGAGGAAGATCCAGGGAAAAAAATTAATAGAATGAAAAAAGGTTGTTCTATCTATGGATGGAAACAGCTGGAAGAAGACAGGTAGTTAAAAAGAAATTTGATGAATAAAGAAACTGAAAATCACAACACAGGGCAACAAAAACTAAACAGAGCAAAACCTGACAGGAGAAAATGGAGTTTTAAAGAGGCGTACATTTGAAAATCTTGATGTAAAGCCTTGAAATTTCGGTTCTAAGAGGTCTTAATTTTTTAAGCCAGTGTATTGCTACCTCTTATTCTGTTATAAAGTGCTACCACAAACCGAATTGTACTTTATTTATTTTTTTACAACATAAAAACACCCCACTAGCTCATTTTTTGTGTTAGTGTTGAGACCACATCACTTCATAATCTAGTTTCTAGTTTCCCCTGACCTAGACCTAGGAACCTAGGAACACGTAGAGTTGCCGTTATTGTGAGTAAATATAACAGCACTTTGTATCAATTGAAAGAGTTTAATGTTTCATTTAAATCCACTCTAAACAGCTAGTATGAAACTATCTATCTATCTATCTATCTATCTATCTATCTATCTATCTATCTATCTATCTATCTATCTATCTATCTATCTATCTATCTATCT